TCCAGATTTTATTGTACCACCTCAGTGCCATTTGTCCTTGTTTGGAAAGCAAAGTCCCAACAGCTGCAAGTCTGCTGACTCAGAGTACAGTTCCGGGGGTGAAAAATTCCCTTACGTGCGCAAATCCGAACGGCCTGTCATTGTTAATGGTGAGCGTGCGGTCGTGGCAAGAGCCTATCTTAAACGGCTGTGCCTTCTTGGGACAATAGGCACATTCTTCTCTGTTTCTTTGCCCTTTGTTTTTTGGCGGGTGCTACCGCGCCAACAAAGGGGAGCAGACGCACACCATGATAATATGTTGAGTCCACAGTTCATTGAGCATAAATACTCACTTGTTAGTCTAAAAACAAAAGCGTTATTTAAAAAAAAAAAAAAAAAAGAGCTGATAACAACGGGAGGTCTTGGGAAAGGACTTCAAGAGTAACAACTCAACGAATCTGTTGGGAGCAATGTTTGGGGGCAACAATTTCAGAACCGCGTTTGCCAATTTCGGAATTGTAATTTAATTCAATGTGAGACTCGAAGGCTGATTGGACATAGTTGTGAGGAAATATTCAAAAGATGACCTTTGCAATCCGGCCCAATGACGCTAAACCCGGCAAATGAGTACCTGGACTGAAAGTCAAACGACTCAAAGGTCATCAGCGCTTCTGCAACACCGATAGCATCACTTGTTTCGCACCGAGACCTCTGCTGTGTCACTGCCAGATTAAATGTTTTTCCTCCCCATTTACTTGCTTTTGTATCTTGTGGCCAAGATATGTAGCAAAGGAAAAGCGCGTGGTACAAAGCCAGGCGATTAAGATGAATTGAGAAGCTATACACTGTCCTCTAGCAGTAGGTTGTTTTCTTGTTTGCTGGATGCATGTGTGTGCCAATTCTTCACTCTTGAGCCGTGCCAAATTGCCTCTGTGTGTGTGTGTCTGTGTGCGTGTGTGCGCGCTTGTGTGTGTGTGTGGGGGGGAGGCTATGCAGCGTATCAGGGGGGAAAGCCCGTTGGGGTTATGGAAGGTGCAGTGTGGGGTGATGAATAGGATGCTTTTGTGCTGTCTGTAAAGCAGTGAAGGACAGAAAGGTGAGGAGGGAGATAAAGGGGAAGAAAAGAGGAGGACAGATAAAATAGCAGAGATGAGAGGCTGTGAAAAGTGGGGTGTACGGTGGGTGAGACACGGGTGGGGGGAGGGTGGTGGAGGTGAGAGAACGGGAGGAAAGGTGAAGAAGCAGCAGCATATGTGAGAGCGACGGTGAATTTGAGAACACTGCACCATTGTCTCCTCTGCCCACATCGAGACAAAGAAAGTTGCCGAATGTAGAAAATCGACTCCGGTCAAGTTGGTGAAAATAAATGGCGGCAGAGGGGGAGACAAAGTGTCCAGTTTGATCATTTGATCGCTCCGCAGAATAGCGCGCTGACCTCGTGACCTCGACCTTCACACATGATGATGTTTGGAAATGAGCCAATCAATGACGGACGTGGACGAGCTGGGCCAAAAGTCTTGGCGCGGCAACTTCGCCGCCACTCTGGTGCATTCCAATTTCTCAGCAGGAAACTCACTTTTATTTGGGCAAAGTCATGGAATACACCAACCTCCTCCTCAGCAATCGCTGCCTTCACGTTGCTATATTTTCACCCGATTCAGTTAGGTTGTCATTCGCTATATACGACTGAAGTTCGCCCTACGTATAATTTCAGATATCGTAAGACTTTTACTTAAGCAATATCTCGCAAGGTTGTTTTCTGTTCCGAAACGTGAACTTTTGCTCAAGTATCTTTGCCATTTCCTGAAAACGAGAGTGGGTGTACCTACGCGCCTTTAAGCTGGGAGAGCCTCGAGCTCACCGGCAACTCGTGAGGACAAGTGAGGTTGAAAATGGATGCATGGTCTGAAAAACACGTCATAATGGCCCTGAAAAATGCACAGCATGAACACCCATCTCTCTCTTTTTTTTTTTTAACTCCTCCGAGGCTCAGTCTCATTTGCATTACAAATGATGGGAGGAAAGCCTTAACAAGCTACTAGTGCCACAGAGCGTTAATCACGGCTTGTAGGCGATGGTGCCGGATCAAGCAAACTTGCAAAACAGGTGTCCGGATGCAAAACGTGAAGTTTCCCACTCACAAATCAAAAATCATCAAGATATCAAGAGGATTCTGAAGTTGGCGGGAAAGTTGCCGAAAGTTGATTTCATTAATATAAGCGCAGCAATCTCAGCAGCAGCAGTGGGACTGATTAAGAATTAAGTGCATTTTTATGCGCATGCTAATGAAACATTTATCATGATTAATTAACCCATCTTGTCAACGGTGATGGAGAAGTCGGCATGCCTGACGAGATTTTCGTTGAATTTGGCTCGACAGATTGCTGACATCAGTGCCATGTCGCAACTTTGAAATGCAAAATACTAATGACCAATTACCGTGCCGATGCATTTTTATTTTTCGTAATGACGCCTCATGGGTTCTTTCTGCTAAATAAATAAATACATTTTGAATGGCACAACATTACGTTAGAGAGCAAGGTGGGAGGATTAGAAGGTCAACTGCCTTGAAATGTGATATTTAGGAGACCTTTAAAAAGAAAACACCCAAGACCTTTCTGGGACGCAAACTTAATTCTCATTTGCTACGAACACTACCTTGGAATATTTGCAATTATTTGAAGAAAAAAAAAAAGTTTCGCTCGATGCCTTTGTCGTCAGTTGTGCTTATTTGTGTAGGCTTTATCAGCGGCATTTTCCATGTTCGCGTTAATTTGTGACTGCATTTCTGAAATAAAAAGCAGGGGGAGGATCAAGATGAGCTGAGGAGGAATATCTGCGCGGCGCGGGTGTTTAATTTTGTCAGTAATGGTGCTTTTGGAGAAAGAGGCATCAAACCGCTATTGTCCTCAATCAACCGAATTCCTTTATCATATTTTTGCACTCTAGAATAATAAAAAAATATTATGATCATGATTTTTCCCGATTCGCAATCCATTCATTTGAAAATAAAACATGATGTTTGGGTTAATGCTGGATCTTTGCTGGCTAGGAGACACCCCCCCACCCACACACACACACACACACACACAGACACACCGTAGTCAACTTAGGTCACATCAGTGTTGTAGTTTTTCCTCCCTGATTTCAATCCGTGCGGAGCCCACCAAACATCATCACGCGTCTTCTGAAATGATCTGAGTGCGAGATGCCTTTTCACAGAGTGAAAGTGAAGTTTTGCAGGATCTCTTTGTAATACACACTTGCATAACACCTCGTAAGCGTAAAAGTGCCACCGTGATGCTCTGCGGCCCTGTCGGCAGGGCTTCAACTCCGTGACGTTACGCCAGACGGCCAAGAGAGTAGGAAGTGGGGAAAAGACAGCTCCACGCGACCACGCCGCCAGCGTCCTCACTTGCTCCCGAGAAATGCATTCAGCTCATCGCCCATGCAGGAAAACAAAAAAAATCAATCCCCTTAAACTTTATATTCACCGATTTGCATGTTAACAGCCAACGCCGTCTGCTCCTAAACAGCTCTGCGCTCACTCCATGCGGAGAAAGTTAAAAACGATGACTGTGACTGTGGCATCAAAGGGAGCGTCGGAAAGAGGAGGAATGAAGCGGTTCAGCCTCCATCATCGCACCTCAACAGAAGGAAGGTGTGCCTCTTTGTCATCATAATGAGCAAAAGCGGATGGCTCGACAATCTGGCCAAAATAATTGAATAACTCGGCGGCCTGTCACTCATTTCCATTGAAGCAGTCCAGCCATTGCTCGCCATTATATCTAACCTGTGTGATGCCTTGCTAATACGCAGAGGTTCTTGGTGACAATGATGATGTACACCCCAGGTTAGTAATTACAACCTTAGACCTCACTAATGAGACCGGTAGCCCGCGGTGCAAAATGGAACATGATCAGACTTGTAATGTTACGCTTATTAGAAAACACGGGAGGTCGTCTGTGCGGGGAAATACACTCGCTGGTCACAAATAAAGTAGCTGCCTTTTTCAAGACAAGAATGATGCTCACTTTTGATTGGCGCTGTCTAACGGGCATTCATTAAGCAGCGTGTTTAGAATTGGACTGCTCCGGAGGTGTGGAATTACAAGAACACTACATGATACTGATTTGATATGAGTGAGATTTTATACTGTTAGCGCTCGCAATCATTAACCTACATTGTATCATTTTGGCATAAGGGAGGAAGCTGGAGTTTATTTTAGAAAACTCATGTCACTGGGGAGAACTTGAAAACTCCACACAGGAGAGCTAAGGATGAGATTTGCATGTGAGTAAGCATTCTACTGGTCATGAATGGCACGATGACTCGGTCATGTTTCTAACAAAGCAAAATATTATAAACTGATTTCACTGCAAAGTACAACTGTGATATTATGCAGAGTCTTCATCAACTTCAAATGTGAATTCAAAGTATTTGTAATCTTAATAAATTCAGAAATGTGCCTCGTTTTGTGGCTTTTCAATGTAAGGTTGTCTTGAGGAACAGCAGAACAATAAACCAAATACAACCTCAAGGGAACTGGGGGGGGGGGGCATCCAAAAAACATTCAAGTCAACATGCACATAATTTTTTTTGTTTTTGGCATCATTTTTTTTAAGCAATACACTCCGTGTGGCCCTCGGGGGACTGCAACTGAAATGGCCCCTGACAGGGGAAAACTATTCCTCACGGCTGATGTACGATTGATATGGTAATCGAAAATGTCCTCATGCCTGTCAAACAAATTACACGTGCAAGCAAACACTTGGAGTCAGTAAACTTCCTGAATAATAAAAACGGTCGTTTCTACATTGGACTGTCAGTCATCCGAACTCCACCAGCATGAGAGACATTTGCTCTAATCTCCTCTCGAAGACCTCACAGCAGGAAGTCCTCCAGGGGAGCAATTAAAACCCGATTTCCAATCCAGATGCCCTTGATGCCAAAGCGCATCCTCCTCCTCCTCCTCCTCCTCCTCCTCCTGCTGGCTAGTCAGCAAGTGCAACAGTACTCACCCCCAGTTTCTTACTCCGTATCCTCACGTATCCCTGTTTCACGATGTCGTTGAAGTTGGATGCCATGGTCGAAGAGGGGGGCGGGGGTGGGGGACGCTGCGAAAATACAGAAAGCCCGTCTTTTGCTGCGAAACGTCTCACTCGAGCATCTGTTCGCGAGACATCCGCCAGGAGGAGAAGCGAGCGTCGGGCAACCTGCTCCCGTGTCAGCTCGCAGGCTGCCCGGCTTCAGCGACGCCGTCCACTCGGGGATGGGGGGGCGAGAGGGGAGTGAGGAGGGAGATACCATTTTGTCAGCTGATTCATGCAGCAGGGGCGCTCGCGCGAATCCTGGACCGCACCAACTGGGACACAGCAGCGGGTGAGGCAAGGGTTTACGAATCGAGGTGCTGAGCGGGTCCACAACTGTAATCATGTCATTAATTCATTGCAATATGACAGTCCAGTGCAAGAGCTGCATGAAACATATTCAAAGATGATAACCCTTGGGGAGACCATAGAGTGGATGGGATTGTGCATGATACTGCACAACATCAAATTGACGTTAGGGTCTTCTTATCAAGGTTGATGAGAGGAGCACAATATCAAACAAAAAAATATTAACGACCACAGACTGTCGCTTGTGTTGCCAATATGGAAATGCTCAGTGTGACGGTCCAGTAGGTCACAAGTGTGAATTTAGCTTCTTCAATAGCATGGGCAAGTGTCAAAAAATGCATGTCTGCACGTCCTGTATGTCTGGGTAAAGATGATTAATGATTCCTCAACTATAAAATTTGTTGCTATTTTTTTAGACAAATTCTAATGCAACTTTTTATGTCTTCAGTCAGATCCTTCGCGCCCACGATTAAAGGAAATGTGCAAATGTCCAACAGAGCTTGGAGTCGTGGCTAATTTGTAACATGCTTCGTACCTTCCCTTTCTATTATTGCCTGTATGAGTATGAATATCATTTCCATATTTTTTGCCAGACAGGCCGCTAATAGGGGAATGCAATTTTAGACCGTCTCGATGTGCGCGTGTGTGAGCAGTTTTTTTTTTCCATGAGGCTGCTTTGAACTGATGTTATTTGATTTGTCCAATAATAAAAGCAGATAGTCCAGTGCCCTATTAAATGATCACATAAATTTTGCAAGAACCAAGACGACAAAACGCTCAGCGTTCGGCTTCTGCAGGCACAATGCTGCGGACAAGCAATCAAAAAGCACTTAAAATAAATGCACAGAAGACACATTTGATGTCAGCCAAAGCAAATGGCTCGAGTTTGTTGAATTATGGTCTGGGAATTTTCTTGGCATTAGACAGCAGATGGCTGAGCTACCGTGTATTGATATGACAGGCTGCCATTACTTATATAGATTAAAACAAAAAGAAGATAAATGGCTCATAGAATGGAGTAAGATAAGCAGCCTTGAGCTCGGATCAAACATCCTCCATTTACACTCTCAAATCGTGCAATAAGAAAGAGGCCCACTGTCGATGAAGGTTGCCACAGTTTGCCTTTTATGAAAGCTGGCCGTTATCCTGTAGCGCCCACACTTTCATTTATTCATGAGCCGGGGCCTACTTTTCATTGAAAAAGTGTTTTTTCTCACACGGATGCCCTTTTGAGGAGCACTATTCTGTCACGTATTCCGAGGTGCAACTCTGCATCTCTTTCTTTGTATCATTTTGACAAGGGCGGAGCAATCTGCCACCCGTCCAACAGCTTGTCTCTGATAGTCTGCAAATCTCTGCGGAAGTGTCCTCAAACTTCAGATTTGTCAAGGCTGTTTTGGCTCCGTAATCCTCTTTGTGTGACGCGGCTCTCATCCGCTTCCACCATGCACCTCGTCAACTTCTCTCGAAGAAAATGATGAGAATATCAAGACCCGAATGGCACTACATTTGAATTTCAATGAAAAGAAGACAGAAGTGATGCAGTTTGGTACCAGTGGCCCCTGTACATCCCATCCCGCGGACGTGGGCCCCTTGGCTCCTTAACTTAAGGCAACGGTCTCGAGCTTGGTAAATAAGTTGCACACACATACGAACACGCACACACAGCCAGCCCAGCATATGGCCCTGACATACATGAATGGCTGCCAACAAGGTCAGATGTGTGAGACTCCCCCAAAAGAAGAAAGAAAGACCTTCATCAAGGTGACGGGCAAAGCAGGCAAACGTGCATCCGCTTGGTCGGCCAAAACATCGATGGCTCACGACGGTTACTTTAGCAGGCCTGGACCCGATGATGAAATAGTGATGCTCATGTTATTTATTTATTCATAAATGTTGTCACAAATGCCGAGCGCTCTTATTCAATTCTGGTGGAGGTGATATGGCCTAAGCAAGACCTGGTGGAATTTGCTGATTTTCAGTCTAAATGGAGAGAGAGTGCCAACAATGCCACAAAACTGCACAATAATGGGACCCCTGATTGATTGATTGATTGATTGATTTCCAAAATGATGAGCTCAACAGCACGAGTTGGCAAAATTTCAAGCACAAGCCGCTAAATAATGAACACAAAAAGATAAGCAGGAGTGATTGAGTGAGAGAAGACATCTTGATGCCAGGTCAGCATGTTTTTTTTTTTTTAATGTATGCAGGGTCGATCGAAAGAGATCCTACACTTGGACAGAGTGGTGGTAATGTTGACGCTTTTTACAGCAACCACCATCACCGTTATATGTTCATAGGTACATTGGGAATTGGCTTTGATTAGATGTTAAAGCCTAGAGGGGTAAAAAAAAGAGGTAGATTTGCACATTTCGCCAAAAAGTGGGTCTTTGGTCATGTGTACTCGAAGGACGTCAGCTGGTCATGCCATGTGGAGCAGCTAAGGTCGATTGAAATCTCAGAGGATTCTCTTTTGACATGTTTGTGATTTACTTCATGAAGAAAAGAAATAAATCATTTGAAAAAAACGGTTGGAGGGCTTCTGTGTCCTTCACCACAATGGGTAATGGGGAAAGGCTCCTTTTACTGCAAGTCGAGGAGGGTGTGCAAGCCTAATGGCACCGCAGTGATAACTTCAAAGTCGGATGCCCCCAAAGTGGTGCGATTTCAAGTTCATGCCAAATTTTCTTGGGAGGAAAAAAAAAAGGTCACGTCTTAAAAATCATTTAAATTTGGGTGTGGCGTGAGACAACTGCTTGTCAGACTTCAGGTCAGTGAGCACAAAAGGTCGATTCCGGTTTAATGCCGCTATCCAACGATTCGTCTCTTTCCATTTGAATTTCAACGCAGGCATTTTTTAAAAAAAACACTTTAATGCCTGAATCTCAAATGACAAGCGTCTCAACCATCTGCATGGAACTCCAGCTTTGGACACTAGACACTGTGATCCAAATTAGGATTGTTCTTCCTTCCCTGAGTCAGTCATCGCTCTTGTTCACCTTCTCTTGAGGGTCTGCGTCACAATGGAGACCATTGACAAAAGAAAGGTCGATAGTCGCAAACAACACACCGTGGCGCTTGTACATAGAAATGATCCCCTGTGTGATTTGCGAGTTGAACAGCTGCTTACAAAGCAGGACAGAGAGGACCCATGAATAGAAAAGTAAAAGTACCCTTATCGGTGAGAGGATCCACTTCCCGGTGGTCTTTTGTGTCCTAAATCGGGGTCTGTTCAATGTCACGGTGACTCCGAGCTCTGGGCCGTTTCTCTTGAGACATGTTCTGCTGCTTTTGCATTTCTCGCTGAAAGAGCAGAGCTCATCACACTCGTTGTCTCCCCATTTGGACAAAGAGGAAATAGCTTCCGCTCCCCAGAGAGGTTACGGGATGTTTTCCTCGCCATTTCGCACCATTTTCCCCCTCCTCCTTAACGTCAAAGTTAATTTGGAGACCTGGCGATTGGATTCGTCAATGTTTTGGACCGGTGAACAGGCCATTTGTTTGACCGTTTTGTTTTAACCAGCGCTCTTCATTTCAACTCCTGTCTTGTATCTTGGCTTTTTCACATTCACATGATTATTTATTTATTTTTTTTTTGGTGTCTAATGCCAGATTATAACACCGTACTGCCATTGTGCAGGGCACGGATGCCAGGAACGCGTTACCGAGTAACATGTTACTGCGAAATGGGCAGTTACTTTTTCCAGTCAACAAGTTACTTTTTCCAGTCAGGTCATCAGGCTGCAGTTACTCTTCACTGATCATCAAACATGACTAAATAGAATATAGTGGCTTCTGCTTGCGGGACACATCAATGCGTCAAAGAGCAGTACCTTGAACCACCACAGGCAGTTGCCGTGAGGGAAAGAAAAATGGACCAAACATATATGGATAACACTTCTGTCCGTGTGTTTCACTTCAGTTCTTGGAATTGTCCTTCCACCTCTTCAAGTTTAGTTTTTGTGTTTGCTCGTTGGTTAGAAAACCAGTCAGTCTCTCGGGTGTCGGAGTTCCGCAGCCCTCCTCCGCTGCTCCCTCTGACAGCTGATCACGTTATTGATTGTGGCCTGTGGAATGTCGGTCTACTCCTCGCTTCAATGACCGCGCAAAGCTGCTGAATGGAAACAGGAACTGGAGCACACTGTAATATATGCTGATCCCCAGCATCCCAAACAGACTAAAGGGTGACATGTTGAATGCGTATGCCGGCCATGCAAGAACAATTTGATCACCGTTCGGCCCAGGGATGCTGACAGCGTTTTCTGTAGATCAAGCATATGTTTACATCTGGCCATGCATGGCACGCCAAAAATAGATGTGAGAATTATTATGCATGGGAAAAAAAAAGACAATGCATATACAGCAACAGAAGTAGGTATCGCTGAAGGTGTACAGTTGAATCCAAATGGGATTAGCTCAGCCTTGGAAGAGGTCCGCTGCCGAGTAAGAGTCCCACTGCGCTGGTTCCTCTTCTCACGGCTTAAACACACACACAAAAAAGGAGAGGCCAAGCATGACTAACGTGTCCGCCCTGTAGAGGGCAATATTGTCTGCCGTGATAGATGGAATCGTTTGACAGGGGCTGTTTAATATCCTAATATAGCTGCAGTCTGGTATGATGTGACCGTGGCAGTGTATTGCTCTCGATGTATTGTCATGAGGCGGAATGAGCTGCATTTGACATCATGTCACTTGAACACAACGTGACCATTTATCCAACATGCTTTCCCGTTGTTGTTGTTTTTGCACATTTACTTTTGGGCACACATCGTTATTGTGACACAAGTTGCATCATTGCACCTTGTGTAGAAGGCTAAAATTGATCCTGCTCTCTAAAGTGCCAGTTTATTGCTTCTCCTGCCAAGATTGCT